AGCGAGGACGCTTAGGGACGCTTAAACGGGGCTACCCCGCTGCAGTAGAAATGTGCCATAAGTAGCCATGCTGTCCATGTCTTCATAACATGAATAACGCGCTTCAAAATGAGGGGCTTCTTCTAAGACTACATCATTTTAAAAGGCCCCTTTGTGGTCCCATTGATTTGACCTTGTTTGGGACCCCTATAATGGGATCTGACCTCAGTCTGCAGAGGCCTCTTTACTTATAAAAGCTGTGGTCCTGTTATGTACCTCTACTTAGTTAATTTAAGATAATTACCCTGAGGACAAGCATCCTAATTGCGCACTTTTTCCATTTATCCATCTTCAATATACTGTTGACAATAAACACTGAGTTCATGATCTAAATTGCGCACTTAAAATCCCTTCATTATGCAGCCCCATTTTCAAAGCTAGTACGCTATGACAGGTAAAGGTTACTCAGAGAGAAAGCGAGATATAGGGAGGGAGATTTATACCACTGGATTACTCATTATCACAGACTTGACAAGACACAACATCCTTTCTCTATAGTCTGATTTACGACTATGAGTGTATCAGGCTTAACGTGCTTGGAGTCATTTAATTTAAGTATTCTTCCATACATCTGTAACACTGTTAGATTGATGACACATTTATTAGGAGTTTCTCAGGCAATGACTTTGCCTACAAACCTCTTCACCATGGCATGACTATTTAATATGATACTCCCCCTCATTATGATGGCAAAAAAAGGAACCCTGAGGTAGCTACTAATACTTGGGTGAGCTAAAATACCAACATATGTAAAATGTAAAATTGTACTTTTCCTGGATCTTTTTTAAAGCAACATTTGGCAAAAATCAAGACATAGCTAATATAAATTGGGAAACATTTCAATATGTTAACATAAAGGAAAAATGTGTGTGCCATCACAACTTCACTTTTCTTTAAATAGCATCCATTAAAAACCAATTGTATCTTTGCAGTCAATTTGCAAAACAGCTTTTATGGAGTTATATATGCTTTCTCATAGCAGAACAAAAGCAGATGCTGACTGCATGTTTTCAGATGTGTGAGCAGAGACCATGATGATCTAGTAGGATGACATCACATTCATACCCTGTAAATGTGACTATAACAATAAACAGTTTACAAGTGCACTCACTCTTTGATTCGATTTAGAAACACTTTATCAAAACTCCATCATCTTCTATAATTTTTGTATTCACGTTTGTACATTAAAAAGTTGTCATAAAGCTTTGATTCATGCGGTCAAAGAGATCAGGCAAGTGGATAATCTTAGTTTAATTTCACTAAACTCTTATTGAAGGCACAACAAAGTCTAACCTTTTTGTATGTAAGGAATAAGGATACAGACCATGATTGGTACAAGAAAGACATCACTAAGCTTTCTTTTTTTACACTATAATACCCATTACATATGTTATTTAACACTAAGTAGATCCTTCATAAATCCTCTAAACTATGCCAATAACATGAGCAGTGAGGCACGTGCAAAAACCATTAAATATCTACAGAGTTGTGTCCCGCTACTCACGCAGGTATTCATACCATCATCAAGGCACCACGGTAAGTTTTCACATGTGGTTATTTATTATACTAGTTACACTGAACAAAAATATAAATGTAACACTTTTGTTTTTGCTCCCATTTTTCATGAGATGAACTCAAAGATCTAAAACATTTTCTATATACACAAAATAACCATTTCTCTCAAATATTGTTCACAAATCTGTGATAGTGAGCACTTCTCCTTTGCCGAGATAATCCATCCCACCTCACAGGTGTGGCATATCAAGATGCTGATTAGACAGCATGATTATTGCACAGGTGTGCCTTAGGCTGGCCACAATAAAAGGCCACTCTGAAATGTTCAGTTCTATCACACAGCACAATGCCACAGATGTCACAAGTTTTGAGGGAGCGTGCAATTGGCATGCTGACAGCAGGAATGTCCACCAGAGCTGTTGTCCGTGAATTGAATGTTAATTTCTCTACCATAAGCCGTCTCCAAAGGCGTTTCAGAGAATTTGGCAGTACATCCAACCGGCCTCACAACCGCAGACCACGTGTAACCACAGGACCTCCACATCCAGCATGTTCACCTCCAAGATCGTCTGAGACCAGCCACTCGGACAGCTGCTGCAACAATCGGTTTGCATAACCAAATAATTTCTGCACAAACTGTCAGAAACCGTCTCAGGGAAGCTCATCTGCATGCTCGTCGTCCTCATCGGGGTCTCGACCTGACTCCGGTTCGTGGTCGTAACCGACTTGAGTGGGCAAATGCTCACATTCGATGGCGTCTGGCACGTTGGAGAGGTGTTCTCTTCACGGATGAATCCCGGTTTTCACTGTTCAGGGCAGATGGCAGACAGCGTGTGTGGCGTCGTGTGGGTGAGCGGTTTTCTGATGTCAATGTTGTGAATCGAGTGGCCCATGGTGGTGGTGGGGTTATGGTATGGGCAGGCGTATGTTATGGACGACGAACACAGGTGCATTTTATTGATGGCATTGTGAATGCACAGAGATACCGTGACGAGATCCTGAGGCCCATTGTTGTGCCATTCATCCACGACCATCACCTCATGTTGCAGCATGATAATGCACGGCCCCATGTTGCAAGGATCTGTACACATTTCCTGGAGGCTGAAAACATCCCAGTTCTTGCATGGCCAGCATACTCACCGGACATGTCACCCATTGAGCATGTTTGGGATGCTCTGGATCGGCGTATACGACAGCGTGTTCCAGTTCCTGCCAATATCCAGCAACTTCGCACAGCCATTGAAGAGGAGTGGACCAACATTCCACAGGCCACAATCAACAACCTGATCAACTCTATGCGAAGGAGATGTGTTGCACTGCGTGAGGCAAATGGTGGTCACACCAGATACTGACTGGTTTACGGACCCCCCCAATAAAGCAAAACTGCACGTTTCAGAGTGGCCTTTTATTGTGGCCAGCCTAAGGCACACCTGTGCAATAATCATGCTGTCTAATCAGCATCTTGATATGCCACAAATGTGAGGTGGGATGGATTATCTCGGCAAAGGAGAAGTGCTCACTATCACAGATTTTTTCAGATTTGTGAATAATATTTGAGAGAAATGGTTATTTTGTGTTTATAGAAAATGTTTTAGATCTTTGAGTTCATCTCATGAAAAATGGGAGCAAAAACAAAAGTGTTGCATTTATATTTTTGTTCAGTGTATTATTTAAAGGTGGGGTAGGTAATTTTGGAGAAACCAGCTCGAGTGCGCTAGAATTTGAAAATACACAACCGGAAAAAATCTGCCACTTCCTTACAGAGCCCCTCCTCCAACACACACGAACGCGCACATGACCAATGAGGGCACGAGATAAGTTTGTGCACAGATTGAAGGCTGACAGGCAGGTAGGCCATCCAGTTATTTTAGCCGGGCTGGCTAAAATGATTGGTCGTTCTTTTTACAGCACTACGGCTTCCACAGATTTTTTTTTAAACGTCATCACCTTTAAGGTCCTGATTGTAAATAAATTACTGGGGGATCAGCATTAGTAGCGCTTTCCTCCCAATTGTATTTATATTATCAGACTCCAAGCTGTCACCACAAGTGGATGTTAGTGTCAGCTAGTCCTTTTTAAGGATTATTTTTCTTCCACAGTAACTTTCTGAAGGGGACACTGTGATGTTGCATCAGAGATAACGGGACATTTAAAAGTAATCAAACTTTTATCAAAGTCATGTGATGGCAGTCTGACGGTCCAATTTAAATCTTGGTTTGCATGTCACAACTCTACACTTGTCTTTCATTCATTCCTGTCTATATGCTGCTATCAAATATAATTGATCTGCTTAGAAAACGTGCGCAGACTGCGCACCCCAGCCGACTGGGAACAACAAAAGCTGTGTGTGTGTGTGTGTGTGTGTGTGTGTGTGTGTGTGTGTGTGTGTGTGTGTGTGTGTGTGTGTGTGTGTGTAACAGGGATGAAGGATGGGATGGGAGGTTTCATGACGGGGCAATGATTATGAGCTCCGAGGATCATCATTCACTCCATGACTAAGTAGAAGTGGAGGACAGCCAAAGTATCTGAAAGCAGGCGAGGCAAATGGGTACTATCAACACCGCCCCCTGACCCCCATTCAAAAGAGACTGACAGATGGGGCAGGAAGTGAAAGCACATCGGAAAGGGAATATGGAAACATAAGGTGAGTAAGAGGGATGATGGAGAGATGAAGAGGAGGATTAAAGTAGTATTTTCTTGATCAATGGCGTATCCGATGTTGGAAATAAAGTCAAAAGGGGAGGAGAAAACCCTCCTAAAGCCTCCATGCCAAAAGTCTGTGAAGCCTCGCAGGAATTTACAAGACTGATGTAATATTCATATACAAATGATTTCGATTTCATACATTCATGTCGGTCATGACAGTGGAATCAAATGGTAACAAAGACCGGATGGTGGAGCAATGAACGGATTATGAAATATCATTAATAACAGCTTAGTTGATTACTTGATTCTGATTGATCACTTTAGCAAAAGCGATAAGATCATTCTTAAATAAATAGAAATATTATTAAATAAATATTGTAAGTCAAGTCGTTGGTTTATTTAGTACGCAAGTACCCCAATAAACACAATTAGAGGAGTGTTGAATTTTTTGTTTATATTTGTAATATTGTTAGATATATATAGAAAATAAATATCGTCTGATGTAGTGTCATCAGATTTCTTTCAAAAATTGGCCCATAAATCCAGCAAAAGTCAAGATGAAGAGTGAATAACGACGTTGCCTGAAAAATTTATTCAGCACCTACAATGTAACCCTCGGGGGGAAAACTCTGACTTGTTTGCTTTTGTTAAAAACCAATCCCAATTGTTTTGGTTGTCTGTAAGCACAGGTCCTGGTTTAAAACTAAAAATATACCTTCTGTCTGCATACGAAAAGTTAGAAAAGTTAGTTATATTGATAATAAAAATGAAAAGGATGACAAATAAAAAGTAACTCTCACCTCACAGAGTTGGCCTTTCTCCCCTCTGCTTTCATGAAGATTTTGACCTGATCATGCGGAGTTTGCACATACATCTTCAACCTGAAACAGACATTTGAATCAACATAGGACGTTACAGACTCAACTCAATCATAACAATATTTTTTTAATAAAAGACAATTAAAAACACTGGGACATTGACTTTTTAGAATGTCCTAAGCTTGATCGAAAAAAAGGTCAACACACAAACAGTTAATTGAGTGTAGCACAGGAGAGACCCAAATGTACACTTGTCTGGTATACTGATCGACATATGGATATGTTCTGACTGAGGTTTTTTGTGAAACGGAAAGTCCATGTAACTTATGGCACCTGAGCCTGCTGTAAACAGCCAGCTGATGGGCCGTAGAGAGTTAAACCCCACTTGAATCCAGACTAAGCAGAGGTTGTGTCTAAATGGTTGGCACTGGACCAAGTTAGGTATTAAAGACATATTATAGTCTGTGTTATGCTCTTACTGTAGGTTTTACAGTAGACTGATTACTGCTGACAGTTATCAGTGTGAAGGTCAGGTCAGATGAGTCATAGCACTCTTCTGTTAGAGGTAAGGATAGGAAATATTGAATATTTAGAAATCAAGAAACCGGACTTGCGGGGGCAAAATTCCAAAGATAAATGGAGGAAAGTAAGGCTGTGGGAATTAGACAGAACACAGGGAAACACAAACTAGACTGGATGGCTTGATATTGAATATCAGGATAGACATTGACCTTTAAAAACTGTCTCTTGCTCGTTTGAATAAATTAAATCCATTCAAAAGCAGCTTATTCATCCGCTTTGTTAGAAATATTCTCATTAAAGTTGAATACAATCGTACGTAAATATGTTTTTTCAAATTTGCTGTGATTTAAGAAAGACTTAGTAGTGATGTGAATATGAATCTGTAAAGAGCTCTTGCATGCAGACGCATTTGTACTCAGTATGCAACTGAGGCAAAATCCCTCAGCCCCGCTGCCAAACTCAATGACAGGGTCTCTGGTCAGGCGTGCAGGCAACAGCGGACCTGATAAAGGCCATCAAAAACCAAAGCTGCAGTCATGGTTACAAACTGCCTATATTTCTAAATAAATAATGGTGAGAATGTAGAGTAAATACAATTATTGTTTTTTAACAACTGAGTTCTGTATGCAGCAGTGGTTTTCAGCCAGCATCTTGACGACACAGTTTACGACAATACACAAAACTCCTATGCTATGTAATGTTCCCAGGACGATACGATGCAATAGCGTATGAATGTAACTGCATCACACTGGTGTTAAGCTGCTGCAATAGTGCTGATACTGTATCTGCATTTCAACAGCAATTATTGTTAGCAATTCAATTAGCTTAGTTTTCCCCAGTCACATTCCCACTTGTTATGAACATTGGACTTGTAACTGAACACAGCTCCACAGTTGTTGCCAATAGCAAAACTGCTCATTTGAACTTTCAAGAGAATAATGAGCTGAGCAGATTACTGTCAAACTGAAAGGTTACACAAATAATAAATCAAACTGGTGCTGACTTCTAGGTCTGTTATCACTTTGTTCACTTTTATACTTCTATTCTCGAGTTCAGTTACTTAACCAAAACAACTGAATAGTGGACTTATTCCGCTAAATACTGCACATTAATCTAAGGATTATGACTTGTCTTATCAGGAACTGAAGTTGATGACCATAAATTAACTCCATCCGTCCATTTTCAACTACTTTTAAAGTAGTTTGAAAATGTTCAACCAGCTCTGTTTGGAATTCGAAGGCGCCCCCTGGCCAACGTGGAGATACAATCCCTCCACCTGGTTCTCGGTCTGCCCCTCAGTCTCCTCCCAGCTGGACATGCATGAAACACCCCAATAGGGAGGGGGCATTCTTACTAGGGGCCTGGACCATCTCAACTGGCTCCTTTTGACCCAAAAGGGCAGCGGCTCTATTCCCGAGTCCCTCTCGGATGACTAAACTTCTCACCTTATAAGGGATATGCCAACTGAGTATTACTCAACAGACATGACAACATGTTCTTCCGGTCGCTTCTGTTAGGGGTCATCACAGCAGGCCATATGTTTCCATCTCTTCCTGTCCTCCGCATCATCCCAGCCAACAAGCTACACACTTTAGGCGCTTTCACACCGCAGTACTTTTCCCACTTTAGTTCCGATATAGTTCCGAAATGTTGCGTTCACACCAAAAAAATCCGGAACTAAAATTAGTTCATGAGAACCTTTTTTCCCCCTTTTCCGTCTCTGCTAGAGAGCAGGGACTTTCGTGGGAGAAAAAGGTTCCTATTTCTGATTGGCTGGGCGGATTGCAAACCACGCGCCATAAAACTCCAAAAAAGTGTTGTGAAGCCGCCATTTTATTATCCTCGCATTGCATTATTAGCATTAGCATTAGCCCAGTGCACAAACGCAGAGAGACTAACTTATGGCAACACAAAAGAAAACATGGGAGCGGTGGAGATGAGGAGGTGTCGGCGTTCTGGCGATTTACTCGGAAGGCTTCAGTAGAAGCTGCTGGGAGTCCCAGCAGCTTCTACTGAAGCCAGTCCCCAACTCCGGGGACTTCCGGCCGGGGACTTCGGGTGGCAGTATACGCCGTGAAGTTATTTGCGGCCTGCCAGTAAACCCAAAGCAGAAGAAGAAGAAGAAGTGACGTCAGCGGCTTCATTTACCTAATCCTCCCCCAGGGACTTATTCCGGTGTGAACGCGATCTGTACTTAGTTCATGAGAACTAAAGAGTTCTCATGAACTAAGTTCTGATGAACCTTTGTGGGATAAGTACTGCGGTGTGAAAGCGCCTATTTGATATGATGTCCTTGGCCTTATTGCCAATTTGTACAAAGCTTAATTTTCAGCGGACAAAAGGTCCCAAGTGTGGGAAAAGCTTCAGCAGACCTCTCCCTAACACTATCCCCAAAAATCATTAATGTAAATTGGCTGCTTGGCCACACTCTGTCATAAAACAAAGACACTTTGAGACATGAAAGAAGTTTCCAAGCTGGGTGGATTAATAACAGCTAACAAACACATATGATGCATAGAGCAGCTCACGGCTGATTGTTAGGTCTGCACCCTACCCCAACACCCATAAACATACAGTTTCCACTGAGCGTGTTGCATGTATTTGACAAGAAAATGATGGTAAGCCTGTCCTGTAACGACGTAGTATCATAAATCATCAATATCTATATCATCTATATCAGTGGTTCTCAAATGGGGGTAGGCGGACCCCTAGGGGTACGTTGGAGTACTGCAGGGGGTACATGAGATTTATTTTATGTAAATGACATTTTTTATTTTTTTTATTTATTCTACTAAAATCATACAAAAACAAAAACGTATAATTCATACACACATGCATTTACACAAACTACTAATAGTAGTTTAACTACTTAATTCAAAGGTTTACAGTAATTCTGGATAATAAAATGGGAAAAATAAACGGGTGCTCTCTTTTCCTCTCCTGACAGCCCGTCAGTCTCGTGCAGCTCGCTGAACCTCTAATAAGTGACCGACAGTAACAAATAAATATAATTAGTTTAGCTAGTTCCAGAGTAGATAAACTAGCTAAGTGTGTTAGGTCTAACTCTTAGTGTATTTTTGCTCGGCTCAACGGTCCATCACAGCGGGCGGAGCTGTGATCATGCAGAGCTGCGTGTTCTCCGTCAGCAGCAGCTGATCTGATCTGATCTCTCTCTCGCGTCCGGTTAGACTTCACTCGCGTCTATGTCCAAATCTATCAGATCTAGCTAGTTCTAGTTAATTATATGACTGCCTGCTTATCAAAGGACCTAAACAATAAGCGTTGCTTGGCAACGGTGTGTGGCCGCAAAGTATAGCGCAGCATTATGCATATGTTTATATGAGGGGTCAAAATCCCATGCTCATAAATTGCTACTATATTTTTCTCTTCATTCCCCACGCCCCAAAACAAATAAATAAATATACCAATTTTAGGAAAAGTAAGGAAGTTTGAGCAGTGTGGGTTTTATATTAACAGAGTTTCACATATTTCAAAACGTGAAGTGTAATAGCTGCAGTTTGCCTCCCTGTCAGAATGACAAGGATCCTCAGTGAAGCTCAAGCCCATGTTTCACTACATTGTACAACTTATTAAAAAGATCAGTTCAATGCAACTAATGTCGTCTGTGTTATTGCATGATGTTACAATTGGTTTGCCATGAATTTAGTGATGGATTGTAAACATTTGAAGTGTAGCATTTAAGTGTTTCTCAGTTACAATGTTGTTGTTTTAATAAATGAGACACTGATGGTGCAGCGCTGCACTGTACCTCTTTATATAGGCTTTTTTTCCCTTAACAAATAGAAGTTAGTAAATGTCTCCACTATTAGTTAAGAAGTTATCTGAAGTACAGCAATACGTTGGTTCACACATATCTTCTTAATCAGTGGCACAACAACAAAAATTATTTTGGAAAATAAATAAGAACGGGTATTCGATTGATATTCCGTTGATACTGGGAACCTGGGATTAAGTGTCCGAATTGTGGTAACATTTTTTTATCTTTGTGGGAAAGATCAAAAATATAGGAAACGTAAGTATTAAAGTAAAAATGCTCACTTTTGACGTGTGACAGGGTCCGACTCTGTAGGGTGGATATAAGGCGTCAAGATCTGCTCCAAGGTTTGCCTGTCGGACACCCTAAAACAAAAAAAGTCAAGTCAAATGATTAAGGATAACATCTGTTTATCTTTTACAATCGTATAAATCTGAATAGTAACTATTGCTGGATTGCAGAATGTTCACCTTCATGGTCCACTGAACTTCTAAAACAATACATACAGCAACACACCTGCATTTTGACTATCAAAGCCATTTTGATCATCTGTTTTTTAAGAGGTATACATTTTGGGAAATGTAATATTGTTTTGTAACTCACCTTTTCTGACTGAACTCGGTGCTGCTCTGTGGAAAGATGAGCTTCAGGTGCCACAGGAAAAATTTCTCTCTAAATAACACAAAGGCAAAGTCATATTTAGTTTTTATTTCCAGCTTATCAAAAAAAAAAGTGCTTGATGCTTTTTTGTTCAAAGTCAGATGAGGTCACCAGCACTCTTCACAAATGCCCTTGTTTTAAATTCAGCCGTGATCTGTCCAAGACAATATGCCTGGCTGCTTCCAAAATCTTGTCCATCTGTGTGACTGAGTGCGTGTAAATGAATAAACCAGTCACCATGGAGACCTTGATATATACACTCAATACTAGGACACCAGCTGTTGGATATCACATAATGATCACTCTTTCTGGGGTAATAGACTGGGCAGTAACTCTTAAACGTGGTTGGGGTTTTTGGGTTGCTGGGCGTGCTGTGCTCTGCAACCAAACATTTATCCCGTAAACAGCTGCTCTGTTTTGACCTACTAATGTCATAAGGATGTCAGAATAACCATCAAAACTTAATATATCAAACAGTTTGGAAGATATGAAATACAAGATGTAATTCAGCACTAAATATTTAATAATATAACAATAATGTTAGTACTAGTAATCACCAGTCGTTTTGATTTTTTGTCTTTTCTTTTTTTCTTTTATTGTCTATCCACCATTTCGGAACATTAAAATGAATCTGAAATTAAAGAGAAACATTCTTTTTATGTGGATAAACTCAACAAAACATAAGTAGCACCAATCAATCTAGTTTACCAACGATGCAGAGCAAAGACGCTCGATGACCAAGACCACAGTATATGCCATATAAAGGGTGGAGCTGATTCATGAACCTATTCTCCATCAGAGTTGTAGGACAACTTGATGGATGACCATGAAACACACGACCCAAAGCATAATTGTAAGGCACATACGGTAGACCTTGTTATTAGGGCTCACCAAGAAAGATTCAGAGCTCAAATCTGAGGTTTCTTTTGATATCTGTAATATGAAGATTTCTATATTTTGACTCATCTAAAAACAAGTATTTGGTAATAAATATTATTAAAACAAATGAGCAGTTAGCATGTAACGTTGGGTATTTTAGCATTTAATATTTGGACAGAAGGAGTATATTTCGGTTTGCACTGCCTTGAGAAGGTTCAAATGAATCATACAGTTTTTTGTTGTTTGATAATCCTTACAAAAAGAGGCACAATTCAACCTGTCCTTCACAACATAATTGTCAGGGTGAAACCTCATAAAAATATACCTTGTTTGAGAAAGAAAATCCACACCTGCTATGTAAAAGCCTTTAATCCTATCCCACCCACAAATCAATGAGTCAATCATCTGCCTCCAGTTTCTCAATTGTATAGATTCGTTGTTTTCTAATATATATATAACTAGAAATGGCATTCTATTTAACAATTAGGTGGATATTTCAGCGTAAAGAGAACACATTTTGACCTATATAATATGTATTCCACTAATGTTAGTGTTTGTTTGTTTTTGCAACAAGAGCCTCATTTAAAAATCCATGTTCATCAGCTCGGTCAAAGAATGGGCCAACATCTGAACACATATAGACTTTATGTGGAATGGATTAACAGCATATTGCTGGTCAAATGAATAAAAAGAAAATGTACATATTCTAAGGAAAATCATAATCACTGGCAATGTGCTGCTCTACTCGACACCACGTGTGTTTTGACTGCAGGCATGGTTCTGGTGCTGGTGAGGTTTTATTGTGGATCCAGATGGTAGCATTGTACAACAGGAAGCATGTTTTGTTTCCTTGAAACAGAAACATGATGGGTAGGAGGAGTTAAAAAGAAAATAGTTATTGTACAGAACTGGCAGGACACCCAATGGTTATGAGTTTCCACTTGGCTGTAAGGGAAGGCAGCAGCAGGCAATTTGAGTGACAACAAGGGGCTTTGAGGGGGTTCCCTACGCAACTGTAAACGTACCTGACACCTCTAACGCCTTAGTCAGAGGAATTTATGTTTTCCCAATTTCGGCCGGGTTTCTCCTTCAGCGCAACAGTGTGTGTCTACGTGTACAGGTGTGCATGTGTTTGTACGTGCAAGCAAATGAGGGTGGAGCACCAGGTGTGATGCCATTATTCTGTCATTACAGCAAATGGAAACTATGTCTTTCAATGGAAAAGGGGCTTGCCCAAAGATGCATGCAATCATTTCAGGCAAGGCCACAGTGCATACCTGGGATAAGTGCCATCATTCATTGTCGGGGAAAAAAGAGGAGAGCAGCATAAAAAAAGTCAAAACAGAAGCATCAACTGTAGAGGACGCCTGCTTTAAATACCAGAATCTATTGAAAAATATTAGGACTCACAACTTAATCCTTTAGCATTTATTGCTGTAGGGCCTTGATGGAGGCATTTATACTCCAGAGTACAAAAAAAGTTGTGCAATACAGTTCCGTGTAACTGTGAATATGACAAGTACAATTCCTGCTGAAAACATGCCTGTGTAAAAAGATTAAGCGCTTAAACCACACAAAGATTATGTTAAAAAGGTTTATAACCTCAACGGAATCCCATGCAAGTAAGCTATCTGCTGCCTTAACTGGCCCCCATTGAAAGGCATTTTCTCCTTCAAGAGGGATTATTCATCAAACGGCTTGTTGGACCACAAAAACTAAGCCTAACCAAATAAAATAGGATTGGTACATGGAATAGAGTGGAAAAAAGGTAAACATGGTCATTATAAATACTCCGCAATTGATTTACTGTTTGTTTTTGATAAATAAAATCTGATTCCTTCATATACGAATGTACCCACAACAGAATCACAACGACATACCGTACTGGGCGATATTCTTTGTTTTGTCTTATTGTGAAACCTCAGTGTCCTCAAACACTGTGAGGTTAAAGAATATCTTGAGCAGCCAGAATTGCTGATTGTGATATTCTATTAATGTTCACGTTCACACAGTCGGTGATTCCTGAACGGCAGTTTTTCTGTATTTCCTTTCTCCTGTAATATAACTTGATCGCTTTAAACTCTGCACACTAGGGGTGTAACGGTATCCGTATTCGTCCCGTACCGTCACGGTTCGGCACATGCAGTCACACGGCGAATACGCCTTTTTTTACAAGTGGGAAAAAAGTCCGTCACTCAGGGCAGTATTACACTATATATAATCCAGGGGGCGGTATTGCGCCTAAAAGCCAGCCGCCCGTAAATAACAAATGAAGAACAAGAACAAAACACAACAAAACGAACACAATATATGAAGAAGAACATTTAGTAGCCTAGCTATGGCGAGTTCACACAACACACAGGAGCTAGAAGACCCACCTGCTTCTTTTAAATCAGCTGTGTGGGAACATTTCGGGTTCCCTGTGGACTACAACAATGATGGGGTGTGAGTTGTGGATCGGACTAGGACGGTGTGTCGGCGTTGTTCGACAGCGGTGCGGTATGCTAGTGGTAACACGTCAAACATGCTCAATCACATCCGAGTCAGTCTCAGTCCCCAGCGAGAGGGTTTTCTCGACGGCAGGTGACATAGTTACCGCCAACAGATTTGCCCTCACTACTGAGAACGTAGACAAACTTATCTTTTTGAAGAAAAACTTGAAAATAGAGTAAAGCTTGAGTACCTTTATTTAGGCATAATAACAAGTTAATTACACATGTTAGACATTGCTCCTAAAGGTACTGATTTTATGTTCTTATTATTTATTTTAATATGTTCAAGACATTCTTTTTAGTTGTACAGCTTATTTAACCTTTTTGTTTGACATCAGCCAATATAAATAATATGGCCATCTGAGTGTGTGTGTTACTGTTTGTGCTTTGTTTTTAACTGTGTAATAGAGTTAATGATTCGAGTTCCTTATTTTCATACCAAAACTTGCACTACTGTTAAAAATAAATAACAGCAAAAAAAAATTATGCATTTGGGACTTTATTTTGCTTTTCCTTGTTGTACCGAACACGTACCGAACCGTGACCCCCAAACCGAGGTATGAACCGAACCGTGACTTCTGTGAACCGTTACACCCCTACCGCACACTGAGCTCTGATTGGTCAGCAGGCAGTGCTTTCACTGAGTTGAGCTCTTAGCCTGCAACCTAACCTGGTCCCGACCAGGTTAGCCGCACAGCATAAGTTACCATGGAGATCTAGCCTGCTAAAAAGAGAACCAGCTTCGTAGGACCGGAAACCCCGAGTTTTCCCTGAAGTTAGCCGGCTAAGCGAAAATCCTGCTTCGTAGTATACCCCCCAGGTCTTCTTTACACACACTATGCTAAACACAGAACACTACTTTAACACGCTGCTAAGCAGTATAACTAAACACAGAGGATTCACAGTATTATCGAGCACAACGAGTAAGCAGCCTTTGTACTCCTCCCCCGGAAGATGTGCCGGAAGCAGACAGGGATTGGATGACGTTGGTCCAATCACCTCTTCGGATGATACAAGGGCGGGACAGCCAATGACATCGGGGCAACCTTACAGCTCATTTGCATACACACACACAACAGAGTTAAGAGGACCAGGAAGGCAGCAGCCGTAACAATGCCTTTAAAAACAATTTTTGGAGGAGTACTCATTTCTGCTAATGGACAAATTACTCCACTTTACCCTGAAGAGCTTTTAAAATACCTAGAATGCTCTTTACATGATTGGCTACAACAATAGGGTACAAATGTTGATACTTTAGTTTTAAGTGCATAATCAACACCTTATACAAAGAATTGCTAACGACCAACTCTTAGGGTTGTAATTAGCCTCTCTGTCTAACCTAAATGGAGTCTGAGCAATTGCCTGCATCTGTGAGGGAGACTGAGAAATAAAGCAGACTCAGAGGAGGCTGGATGAATTCATTAAGAAAAACACACTCTCTGTTGATTAAGTAAGCGATTGGAGCTGCCTGAGCCATCAATACTTGAGAGCAGACGGCCTGACGGTGGTCTGGCATTTTGAGCAAATCCATCTGGCTGGATTAAGGACTAACAAAAATGGTGCAGTATATATAACCATGTGTCCTGTGGATCTACCCGTCAGAGGGAGAAGCCTGTTGCCCAGGATCTGGGTGACAAGTGG